CTCCTGAAAATAAATGAGGGTCATTACTAAGCGAGCAGCTACACAAAGTTGCCTACAGAATTTTTTTCTATGCTTTTGTGTCTTTTTTAAGATAAAAGAATCCACTCAATAAAAAAATGACCATCTTAAACTTCACCAAAGTGTGATGCATATTTAAATTGGGCCTGGGACTGAAAAATGTGAGGTTATATTTAACAAAGATGAATGTTTTGTTTCATACTCTAATTAAAAACCTTTGAAAAAACACCAATTGCCACTACACCTGATTTCTATTCTCTTTGCCTAAAAAGCCTTGTTATTTAACCTGTTGTAAAGGACAAACAGTTTTCTCAATGTTGTTTTTAATCTCAGTTTGAAAAGACAAAGAAAGCAGAATAACAAAGATTTTCTTCCAACGTTGTTTATTTTTTGGCTTATGAATTTTTCAATGTTCTAAAAGCAGTGGGTGTGTTGTGATGCTACCAATGAATCTCACCCATTCACTCACATTCCCAGCTGCCCACACGGAGGCATGCAAACACCTCACTTTAGCAGCAGAAAAATAAAGACTGTAATCCTTGTGGCATCACAGGAATAGAATGCACAGAGACTAAATCAAGCATTAGAAACTATACTTCCTGATGTATAAAATCCTTTTAAAGGAAATAGACCTCAAGCCACAGTGACAACTTTCCTGACACAAGTCAGCCCCTTCTCGGACACCTTTTTCATGGGAGGCATTGGTACTGAGCAGTAGGAGAGTCACACACCACAGTCCTTGACTTTTATGCTATGTTGTGGCACTCCTTGTTTTCAGTGTCTGGGTGGCCTTTGCCCACACCAACTCTTTGGTGTGGTGAATCTTTCTGCCCCCCACCCCTCAAGCATCTTTCCATCCAAATGACAAATTAGAGACAAGAAATAGATACCTTTTTTTTTTTCCCAAAGGAGGGAGAAATACAGTGGTTCTGGTTTTGGTTTCTTTTACATAGATAGATACAAAATTTATTGCAAGAGAAATTTAGACGCAGTGCTAGGATGACATTTTTCTGTGTATTGCTCCATTTCCTTTGATTTAATCAGTGAAAAATGCTGTGTTTTACACAGCTTCCTTTTAAAAATTAATCTAACCCATGTTCACATTAAACTGGTCCAAAATTAACTTCAAAGTTTTGCAAATTCTGTCCAACTTTGGCCTGGCTAATTTAAGATGGAAGCGAGCAATGAAATTCAATACCAGAGATTTTTGTGTGATTTGCACTTCAAAGGGGAATTTTGCACTTCCCAGGGCTCTGTGGGTCTACTTTTATGATATAATGGTGCATACCCCCTGCCATCTCACACCAAGAACACCTAGGCCACAAATCCCATTCCTCTTGGTGACAGCCCCCCTTGGACTTAACCAGAAAAGGCTGTTTAAAATCTGTGTGAAACATTATTATTTCCTTTCCAAGCAATAGACATTAAATTTGCTACACAATGGTTGCCCATCATGTTACTGCCACAATGATTACTAATTAATATTATGTAAATACATAAATATTAATAACAACAATGCCAATTTCTTTTTCATCTCAGTAAGCTTTAATTAGTGACTTTCTGTGTGTTTATACTTCTTATATATGGCTGTCACAGATATTCTTCAACAGAAGAGCTAAAGGCTTGATCATAACAACTATGTAGCCACTTATGTTCCTGAAGCAATAGGTTAATAAAGGTTTTTCATTCCAGTTCTCAAAGTCTGGGCCCACTGATCCATATATAAATAATTCTTTTGCCAAATTTGTGAAAGTGAAAAGCACTCCCCTTGGCACAAGCACAATGTAAAATTTGAAAGCACAAGGTCCTTGCCTACCAAACCTGAGGGAGCTGCTCATGGGTTCACTGGCTACAGACTCCCCACAGACTCTTCTCTTGCTGTACCTTCACTTCACTGGTTGCCACCAAAAGCATTCTGACAATATTATTTCTCACCAAAATGGCATTTCCAGAGTATTTGAAAGGTCTACGGAGCTATCAACTACCTGAAAAAAACAATTAGAAATGTCATAGTCCTGAGTACTCCACAATTTAGTATTGAAGAGGATGCTGTAGAAACACAAGCATGCTAGATTAAAATATTTTCCTACTTGCTTCTTTAGAAACCAGAATAAATTCTCCTTTAACTAACAAACAGAGTTGCACAGATAGAACTGAAGGAGGAATCTGGCCCACGTTGCCTTGTACACTTTTCTTATGGCTGCATCACTAGTCCAGTTAAAACCTTGTTTAGTGCCTGATGTGTATCTCTAGTTGATTTAGCCCCATTTTTAGTTTTCAATAATATGCAGATGTCTAACCCCAAGAGCCATTACACATATAAACATTTTTAGCTCTCAGTTTGACATATGTATTTTGGCTGATTAATTTTCAAAGTATCTATTTGTACTTCTGCCAAACTGTCTGCCATTTCTATACGAGACTCCAGTTTATGCACCAGCACTTTATAAATCTTCACATGAAATCTTCCATGTTTATTTTTCTTTGAGAGAAAATCCCATTTAATAAGTGTGGGCCTCTTTTCTTTATAAGCATTTTACTATTGAGAGGGTACCTTTATTCTTTTCTAAGTCATATTGGTGTTTGTTTTTTTTTATTATGGGAAGAGAGGAAATAAAAATAATACTAAAAATATATGGTCTTTCTACAGTGGGCTTTATCTACACATAGCTTAAAGCGCATAACCATCATTTTGTTGTCTGGTGGTACTGGAGAAAGCCTAGTACTATGATGCTAGGAAGGGAAGAAAAAAGACTTATCTGGAGTTGCAGCCAATACTTTGTCCGCACCCTCATCTCCTAAAGGACACCTACGCTGTTTCTGACGGTGTTTGGTGCCTTTCACTATGTGTGTTTCTTCAGGTGTTTAGTGTCTAGAAGTAAATTGTGGAGAATGCCTTTAAAGGGTGTCAACAGATATTTTATAATTTATTTTGGAAATTTTCAGCTCTCCGTTTGATATATGTATTTTGGCTGATTAATTTTCAAAATATCTATTGGCACTTGTGCCAAATATAAAGTTATGTTTATAATTTACTCCCCCCCATCAGAGAAGTGGGGTACCCACCTTCTGGTCCAAGAAGGAAATGTAAAGCTGGGATAGGAAGGGAAAAAATGACATTGGCAGCAGCATCCCTTGTCATCCAGCTGCCACACATCAGCTTAGCATTCAGTCAGAGCTCCACAGAGTTGGGATACGAGATCCATGATGGCATCTATCCTAATTTCTCAGACCCTATCCCTCTCCTGAATACCCTAGTAATCACAGAGCTCAATGAGGTCTTCACTGGTTATTGCATTCACCCCAGTCCTCACTGGTGGCACCATGAGATACTGTCCTGATGCTGTGGGCAGTAGGCAGTGCTTCCAGAGCTAGCTTAGAGCCTTCTCCTTCATTTCTAACATACACGTACAGGGCTTTACAGCGGCTCCCAGAGGCCCTCCACGCTGCCATGGAAGCAACTATGATTTTATGCTGGGCAACCTGGCTTTAAAATATTTGATCCAGGACATATTAACAGCGTAGCAAGAACAAGCCTAGAGGCTCTGCATGTTCAAATATTTATGCTTCCTGGGTGAGCCTGGCAAGAAGTGCTGCCAAGTGTACTGTTATCAGTGTCCTGTGCTGGCTAATTTAAAATTAACTTGGGCACTGCCTACATGAGTCGCGGCAACATATTTGGCTGAAACTGTCCTGCCCCTCTAGGCAGGATACGGAGCTTGGGGGAAGGTAGAGATGAGGTGAATCATTTTTGTGCCATTCAAAGCCTGAGCTACTTCGCCAGCTGGAGAGACCAACAGTGTAATTTAGGCAACCGTATAGCAGCACTAGAGATAGCACCCTCACTCAAGGGGGATGTGAAAGAGGATCCTGACAGGCATTTTGCACAGTTCCTGCACTGGGAACACCATCCACAGCTGTGACAAAGGTGCACAGAGGCTGATGTTTCACCCACTTGCTCAGAGAGCTGTAGCTCTTAGAGTAAAATTAGGGACATCCTTCCCATGATTTCATAGGCACGACAATAGTTTTCAGGAACAGGCATTTATCAGAAACATTTCTTTTCAAAAAAACACTAAACACTGAAGAAGTGGGAGAGGAAAATAAAGGGATGTGTGAGGTTTCTCATTTTGTCTACAGTTTTCTCTTGGTGTTACACCAGAACTGGATCCTGATATTTTTGCTTGCTAGTTTCCTTTTCAGTGAAAAACATTCAATTAGCACACAAAGATCAAGCACAAGCATGAAAAAATATCAAGCATCTCAGGGTGTATTTATTTATGGCATTACTCCAGATGAATGCACACTATTGTAAAAATAATTCACTCATTTCCTAGTGACCTTGTAATTATGTACACAGCCATATCAGGCAAAATGAAAGCTTAATCTGTTTTCAGGAGAAAGAAAGTGCAGTTCCCTGCCACAGAAATGATCCGACATGTGGGAAATCGGGGTTCCTGCTCCTTGATAATTTAAACAGAGCGGAGCCCACTTGGTTTCTGAATCTCCCGTGTAAGCAGCTTAAATGTCACTCCTTGCTCTGCCAAACCACGTTTTGTGTTTGACTAGCGCTCTCCACTTGTCCCGCTGCTTAACTGGCAAATGATTTCACTTAGTCAAGCCTATTTCAGGAGCAGGAGGACTGTTAAGAAATTGGCTCTTAAAAGGAAACAAAAAGAAAGCAAGCAAGACGTCTTCCCTGTGGTAGCGCGGTGCCATGCAGGATTATCTCAGGTTTCTAGTTTCCTAGGAACATAGTAACTTCCCCGTGGGTTGTTTTGTGGGCGGTGTTTTTGAATATATGCTAATTCAGCTTTCCTGACAGGGAGAGGAGCAGTGTCTCAGTTACACAGCTCTCCTGACAGCAAACGGTGGGGAGAGGCTGCTACAGAGCCAGGCCATGTGCTCACGCTTGTGACAGGACCGCTCGCCGGCCCGTCGGCACCCCTCGGTCACCTTGGTCGCTGGCAGCGGGGCCGACATGTGCCTATGACCATGGAGATGAAGGACTCGGGCAGCGTGGTTCTGACAGCCTACCATCCTCACAGCCCGGCCAGGATCCCGGGCATGGAGCAGAGCTTCGTGCAGGACATCCCCACCGGCCATTCACCCACCAGCAGGTAAAGCCTGAGGGATGGGGACTGGTGCCATGCCCTGACACGTTGTTGGTGTCGGTCGTGGGTTTTGCTGACTGTGTCAGCCCGAGAGCATTTCCCAATTGCTCGGCCACTTCACGAGCACTTTGCTCTTGCCCGTTTCTTGCCTCCGCCAGGGAAGTGATTCAGCCGAGTGCTGCTGGTTGGGATTGGGAGGGGGAAACAGGAATGCTTATTTGAAATCTTGTAAGTCAACAGATCAGGCCAGTTTCCTGCCTGAGATACTCAACAAGACAATCTCCAGGAAAAAAAAGCACATGAATCAGGCTGCTTCTCAGGTCGTTTAGGACTATTACAGAAAGTGAGAAGACTGGAGTGACTGAGTCTGGCGCTCAGAAAGTTGATTCTGGCTTTGGTTTAGAGTATTATTTAATACCTTCCCCATTCACCCACCAGGTTAGGACCAGACCTTGCTTTTTTGTGAAATTACGGTTGCTGCTTTGCACACTCACATACACACAATGGGAGACTGCATCGTTAAAGACAGTCTAAATAAGAAAATTCCTTTAGGTTGCAGGAAACTAAGCATTGTCTTAATTAACACAGTCATGTGTATGTTTACTTCCCTGCTCTGTAAGAATGCATGTATTTGCACAGTTCAAAAACAGCAGTTTGGGCAATTTTATTGTTTTAGAAAATCTGACCTTTCTCCTTTCTCCTGTACATGTCTGGGTTTTGCAGTTTTCTCCAAAAGAAGTGGTATGAAAGTTCACACTGTAAAAAGTTGAAGAAAGTAGGAAATGTTATTCTGTGGCTTGACTGAAAAAAATGAGAACTAAAGTCTGAGGAAACAGTAGATGTCATTATCCTCAGGAATTAAGTCTGTGGCTTCTTTTAATAAAAATAATTATATTTACTTCATATTGTTTATTTATAGCCCGATAGCTATTTTGTTTTCAATGTCATTATTTAGGTTAGCTGCTTCTTCCTGTTCTTTGTGTATTTCCCTAGCTGTCTCATAAAGATAATTCCTTTGTTCTGTTAAACTGTTGTTTGAGAGCAGTACCAAAATACACAATTTCATGTTAAGAAAAGAAACACAGTCTGGGCTTTTAGACGCAGTAAGAATGGCATTTGCTACTCAAAACAGAGAGCAGTGGTTTGGCATTGGGTTACTGGGGAGCATGTCATTTCTTCCCCAAGGAAGAATGCTAAACTCAATCTCCCTTTGAGTTTGTGAGCAATGGAAATGTGGTGTTTTGCTATTTTTCTTGTAGGTGTGCTAATTGTTTTAAAATGCTCTTGAAACTTAAGCTCAGGGTGTATGAGGGTTTAAATCACATACATATCACCAATGAAAAGCAGAAGTGCAAATTGCAGTTCCTGAAAAAAAAAAAAAAGAAAAGAGGATCCTGGCATTTAGATGAGGAACATATTTTGGAAGCTCCTGCCATGAGGCAAAGCCATGTATCTCTCTATATGTCTGCATGTCCATAAGATTCTGGTGCTGTCTCCCCTTTCTTGTCCTCAACTTCCTGCAGCTGTCTAATAGCAATAGCCAAATTCTGCCATATGGGCAGTCAGTGACCATCCGAGTTTCCAAAGCCTGTTCAAGAGAGGGATTTTATTAACCCAGCATGCAGTCCTCTGGAATGCAGAATCCATGAAGGGAAATGCACTGAGTGTTTTAGCAAATGGTAAAATAGGCTCTGGCTTAATCCCTACTTCATCTTCTAAGAACTCTTTCCTGGACTGCATTTTCTGTATAGTTTCCTCTGCCGCCATCCTAATGCAGGAAGCTTTACTATAGACTCTGTCTGGTGTTTCTTGATCCCTAGGGCAGCCACCCACACTACGGCATGCTACCTCCTTGACCCTCCAGGAGAATGATTTAAAAAAGCATGCAACGAACAGACATGTTGTCTATTTTTTGTTTGATAACAAAAGTAGTTGGGACCCAGAGCCTGGCTTTCCCCTGAATTTGGTTGGGTTTACTTACATGTAGCTCTAACGAAGTCCATACTTCATATATATATCTGTGAGAACAGAATCGGTCTTGGTTATTAGCCCTCAGTTTGATCAACTGCTGACCAGTTCTCTCTCAGTTTAGGAATCAAGATCTTTCATTTTCTTTCCTCTCCCTAAAACTTTTTTCTTGCTTTGGAGTGATGCTCCCTTTATATCAGAACAGCTCCACTCACCAGAGCCAGGCTTAGATGTGTCTCCCAGCTATGTCTTCTCTTGCAAACACTTTCACTTTGGGAACTTTGTAAGCAGAGGTTTCTCACAGAAAGGGGAAGCTAATGCATCCTCAGTCAGCATTACACTGCTCAACTTTACACTATGTAAAAAGAAGCTGATAAAAAAGAAGGAAAGATTTAAGTAGCCATCATGAACCTCTAAACAAATGAGTAATCATACACACTCTTGCCAATCTAAGTACACAGCCGAGAAGTGCATGGACACCAAAGTTTACACTAATAAAGTAACTTAGATACATCGGACCACTTGGATTCACATCAATCTACAACTCTTGAAGGGCCAATCAGGCAGGCATCCTGTGTCCATGTCTACAACATACACTGGCAGCATTAGCATCAGCATGAAGTATAGCAGCCACGAGTATTTTCATTCATAAGCCCAGTGGGAAGAGAGTGTATATACTCCATTATATGTTAGGGGATATTAGCTGGTGGGCTGTAAGGGGGACAGGAGAAGATGTGCTTTAGCTGCTTCAAATGGAAGATGCATCAGTGTACAGTGAAGGATGGTAAATTCATAGGTGTAATGAAGGGGAGAGCGGGATGAAAGTTTGACTACATAGTCAATCATAGCCTTCACCAATCTGCAAAGGAGAATTTGAGCTTCCAAATTTGCTGTCAGATTACATTAATAAAAAGGTTAAGAAGAGGGACCACAAATTCCAGCCATTCTCCAGAACAAGAGAGCGTCAGGGGGACTAAAGATAGCTATACTTAAATATCTTCTCCTCAGCTATCTATATAATTAATTTCTATCTTTCTCCTTTTGTTCCATCTTGCAGACTTACTTACTTTACCAGTTCCACACAAAGGGTGAGCCCTGAAAACTGCACTGTTGAGCTTGCTAGAGGTCCTGGAGAAATATCCAGACAAATCTTCCTTTAATTTCGTTAATGCAACTAGCAAGTTCATTTTCCATTTTTCTGATGGGGCATTCAGGTCCCTTCACTTTGCTTGTCATCTGTTTCGCATGACTGCAATTGTTGATAGTATTTGTATTATTCATATCTTCTTTTTACTTATTGCTTTTGAGAACAAGGTGTTGGAGACATCTCTGTTTTCTTTGCCTGGCAGTTAGACTAACTCCATGGCATATGAATATAGCGGGGAAGGTTCCTATGCTTGTGGCATCCCCCTCAGTTTTTTTTAATCCCATTTCTTAGAACTCAGATGTCACAAGCACCAGTACCAAACACCCCAGAATATCACACTATCCCTTTCAATACAGATACTGTCTCAGTGCAAAAGTGAAAGTGCTGATTTATTTAAGTAATGGTCAGCTTTTCCATCCTCACTTCACAGAACTGCGGACTTTGTAGACATGCACAAATATTGGTCCTGGATTATATAGAGGAAAAGTGAGACCATGGCCATATGTCTTCCTCACAACTCCTTTTTATCCTGTTAGGAGAAGCTAGGAGGAGTTACCCTGTGCTCAGAGGAAACAGGCATGACCTCTATGCCAAATGGCCAGTGAGCTCTCTAAGGTAATTATGCAATTAGGGGAGTACAAAGCATTCCTAAGTGAGTCATGCTTAAGCTTTCCTAGACTCAAGTATGAGAGTTAGTGAGTTCCTCAGCCCGTTTGTTACTAGCATACCTATCAGCAAAGAACTCATCCTGCACTGCAAATCACAGATATTTCCACTGCAATTAGTGGTTTAGGCTTACATGTGCATGAGATAAGAGTCAGAGGAAAGAAAAAGCATTTTCACAGGCTTTGCTCCTGCAGAATGGATTTAGAGCAGCTTTTAAAGGGCACATCAAGCTGTTTACACATGGAATAAACATCTTTATAATCAATATTCATGCAAAGAGCAGCATATATACTACCAAACCTAGGACCATGCTACATAGGTAAAGGTCAAAGTGGATTTCAGCACCACTGAACAACGCAGCCAAGACCCCTTCTTAGTGTCTCTCCTAGCCCAGAGCAAGTCTGGCATTTCCAGTTGTTTCAGGGAAATGCCTTTCCAATCTTTTAATGTTCAGCATGTGTCCCTTCTCCTACTGTCAGAGGGTGATTTTCAGGCAGGCATCACTAAACTATAGCGTCAAAAAAGAACAGGAAAAATTTCTGAAGTTTCTGTGTAGCCTTGCATTACCTACTGGTAGCTTCCAGGATCCCTGCTCTCCAAATCTACAACTTGCAGATATGAGGCCAATAGTAAAGTCATTACACTGGACAAGCATGGCACTAGAGCCTTTTGCAATATTCTTCCCCACTTGTGAGCCCCAAGATACTACAGAGATATGTCACGGTGAGATAAAGTGTCCCAAAATAATGACTGAAACAAAACTGGAAAAGGAGCCCTTATGCACCAAAATTTGGATTGTTTTTATCCCAACAGAAGCAGATTTTATCACACTGAAGTAAGGTTTGTATGCCCTGAGGCTGGGTGATCTGGGTTTAATTTCTGTCAGCATTGATTGAGCAGCTCCCCTGCTCAGTTGTATACAAGTGATGTCAAGAATGTCTTCTAAGTGATGCAGGATAAACAACCTTAACTATTTTGGATGTTTATCTCACTCTACCATAAACTTCCCCAGAAGACAAAAATAAAAAGCTGGCTCCTTTTCCACAGTAAATCTTGAAATGACTTGGGCCTCTTGCAGTAACTTGGACTCAAAAACCTATGAAATTGAAATTTTAATATGTACTAAAAGTGGTAAAAGAAAAACCCCACAAAACAGTAGTCTAGGAAAAGACTGTATTGGCACAGGTTGGGCAAAAAATAAATTTTGTGAAAAAAACACTTTTTA